GGAAAGTTGCATGAAAAATGGAAAACACAGTATGCGCCACAACTGGACACATTCAGATGACCTCTCTAGAAAGGACCTAAACTCGCAGACAGAAAATAATACTTTATACCCTCCTCAGAACAAAAGAAAGTAACCACTAACAAATATTGCCTGATAACTAGTATATTGTAAAAGGTGACAAATCCAAACGAATAGGTGACACATTCCAACTTATGCTGTGGTACTAAAAGGAAGACAAAAAGCTGGCCATAGGACATTACATCTTGCATAAAACGCTTGCAAACAGGGCGAATTTCCTTGCTAAGTGTCGCTGAAAACATCATGACTTGTTTATCATGGGGAGTCAGTTTGAATATCTCCTGCACATCTCTCCGCATGTCTACAAAACATACAAAACAGTGAAATAGGATAACAAAATAGTAAAAGGGAGCACATTAAGAGATGTCTACTCGTCAAAACCAACAATATATAATTCAAAAACATACCAAGTGACTCAAGCATCTTATCACATTCATCAAGGATAAAGTGCCTAACATTCTTGAGGGAGAGGTCTTTATCTCTGGTTAGTGCCAGAATCCTTCCTGGCGTCCCAACAACAATGTGGGGGCACTCATTTTTAAGTATATCCTTGTGCTTTGAAATATGAACACCTCCATAGAACACTGCAACCTTGATGTCAGGCAAGTATGTGCTGAAACGCTCAAATTCATGACATATCTGCATGTATCAAATTATGAGCATTATATGCAACATTCAGAGATCTCCATGAAACTCAAATACGTAAAACTAAGAAAATTAAAGACAATGCCTCAAGAGCGAACCTGGTAAGCCAATTCTCTTGTGTGGCATAAAACTAGAGCAGAAACTTGGCCGGCAACAGGATCAATCTGCTGAAGAGTTGACAGAACAAAGACAGCAGTCTTTCCCATCCCAGATTTAGCTTGGCAGATGACATCCATTCCCAAGATGGCTTGAGGAATGCACTCATGTTGGACTGGTCGAGAACCAAAGAAAATTGGAGCGAAGCAACCCCAGTGAGTAAAAAATAACCTTCTGGATCCTTTTAATGGAAAGGTTTTACCAAATTCTCCTCCAAAAATCAGAGATGTGGAAGTAGTTGTTTACCTGAAAAGGAAATTGGCAAATACTGAAGTTTAAGCAATAATGCAAAATTATGTTAAAGATAATATTATTGTAAGCTGGAAACAGTAGCAACTATTTAAAAACATAATCCTTTATCAAGAAATATTTTCTACAGTGGTCAGGTTAATATGCCACTGTTGACCTTATCATCAAACAAACATGGATAAACATGATTCAGGATAAGATTGATTAATAATACACACATTATATAATGACACCAGATGAGGGGGGGGGGGGGGGGGGGGGGGGGGGGGGGGAATCAAGCACAAATGCAAGCATGTTTCAATTAAAAGGAAAGGAGGACGAGGGAGTTTTTTTTTTGTGGGGGTGGGGTGGGATACACTGAGCCATTGGAGAGTATTCAATTCCACTTCGAAAAACTAAAAAAATAAAAAAAAACACATGGAACTAGTTCAGTTTTCCAATAACATACAAGTAGAGTGCAGGATTACCCCCCACCCCACCCCCCCAAAAAAAGAAGCTTTTCTTGATACGACTAACAAAGAACAATAAGGTGCATTGTCTGCATCACAGTGCAGAAAAAAAAATGAAATCAACAAAAAAGGGGCAGAAATCACATTTCCAAAACGTTCTAAACACTAAAGTTGTCAAATCAAGATACATAATAAGAAATCTGTTTGAACATTTTAAGCCCTTATTACAGTTCTCAACCTTATTCTTTATCTTCAATGATAATACACACTGAAACAATCATGCGAGTCCTCCAAGAGTTCAAAACAGCTAGTCTTTGCAGAGAAATGTATCTGGAGCACAACAGTAACTCCATCGAAAAATTGTCTTCTGTTCAAAACATATGATTGTATGACCGTAGCAGAGACCAGACAATATTTACTATCAACACTAAAATAATAGAGAACCAAAAAAAAAGTGTGACTAGCGTTACAGAGAGATTGATTCCTATTCGTCAAAAGCATGTGACTGTATAATCATATCAGAGCCCAGACTAAATAAATATATCATCAACACTGAAATATGTAAGCAACAAAAAGATGTTTGACTTCCTGTAAGGCCCTATTAATCAGATATGTGCTCTTATATGAGTTTGCTACTACCATTATGACCTTATGAATACGCCAAGCACAACATCAGAGAGCAAGCAATTTATAGAAAATAGGTCTCGATGATTAAAAAAATCAAAGCTGGTAATAGCTCAAATAAAGTTTTTAAGACCAAGTCAGAGCTTACCTTCAGAGGGATGCTCAAACCCAGAATCTACTATTGCCCGGAGA